GATGGATTGATACAGTGGCTGCGATGATGGGCTCGAGTATAGCAGGGATTGTGGGGCTGGTGCGGGATCGGGCAGTGTTTCGTTCTGCTGTGCATGGGGTTGCTATGAGTCGGAAACGACTCGACGGCACTTAACAACAACAACAACAACAACAACAGAAAACTAGGAATTCCTGCTTTTATCACTGCTATTCAACATTGTACTTCAAGCTCTAGCCAGAGCAATTAAACAAGAAAAAAGAAATAAAAGGCATCCAAATCAGAGAGGAGGTAAAACTATCTCTACGTGCAGATGATACGATCCTATAAATATGTTGTTGTTGTTGTTGTTATATGCTGTGGAGTAGGACCTGATTCATAGTGACCCCTCCTTGGGTTTCCAAGGTGGAATCACTATGGAAGTAGATTGCCCAACCTTCCTTCCGAAGAGTAGCTGGTGGGTTTGAACAGCCAGCCTTCTGGTTAGCAGTTAAGTGCCTTAGGTACTATGCTACCAGAGCTACCCCAAAGAATCCACACGCAAGCTACTATTAGGTGCCACTGAGTTAATTACAAGTCACAGCAACCTCATGTACAACAGAACAAAACATTGCCTGGTCCTGCTCCAGCCTCACAATTGCCATACTTGAGCCTACTGTTGCAAGCACCATGTCAGTTCATCCCATTGAGGGTCTTCCCCTTTTTCACTGACCCCCTACTTTATAAAGTATGATATCCTTCTTCAGGGACTATTCACTTCTGATAACATGTCCAAAGTACAAGAGACAAAATTTGGCCATTCTCACTTCCAGGAAGTATTCCAGCTATACTTCTTCCAAGACAGGTTTGTTCATTCTTCTGGTTGTCAGTGGCATTTTCAATATTCTTTGACAACCCCACCATTCAAATGCATTAATTCTTCTTCCTTACTCATTGTCCAGTTTTCATATAATATGAGCTATAGAAATACCATGGTTTTGGTTTTGGTCAGGTATACCTTTGCCTTCAAAGTGACATCTTTGCTCTTTAACACTTTAAAGAGGTCTTTTGCAACAGATTTGTTGTTTGATTTCATGACTTCTGCTTTTGTGGCTGTTGATTGTGGATCCTAGTAAAATGAAGGGAGCTCTGGTAGCATAATGGCTAAAGCACTTGACTGCTAACCAGAAGGCTGGCAGTTCAAACCCACTAGCCTGTCCTCAGAAGGAAGATGGGGCAATCTACTTCTGTAGTGATACTGCCTCAGAAACCCAAGGAGGGGTCACTATGAGTCGGGTCCGACTCAATGGCACATAACAACAACAACAACAGTAAACTGAAATATCAACAAACCTACTAGAGCTATTAAAAAAAATCTACAATGTTAAAAGTCACAAGGTCAACACACAAAAATCACTTGGGTTTCTATATACCATCAATGAACAGTCCAAAAAAAGAAAAGCAATTACATTTACAATACCACTTAAAAGCATAAAATACCTAAAAATAAATTTAACCAAATGGATAATATAATTGCACACAGAAAACTATAATACATTACTAAAAGAAGTTGAAGAAGATTTAAATAAAGGGAAAGACATCCATGGGTTGAAAGACTTAATATCGTTAAAATGACCAAAACCAAAACCAAACCCACTACCATGTCAGTCCTGACTCATAGTGGCCCTTTAGCACAGAGTAGAACCTTAGGGTTAACCAAGACTGTAAATCTTTATGAAAGCAGACTGCCTCATCTTTCTCCTGCAGAGTGCTGGTGGGTTCAAACTGCTGACCCTTTGGTTGGCAGTCAAATGCTTTAAACACTATGCCACCATAGCTCCTTTCATTAAGATGACAATCCCACTACGTTAGAGTCATATCCAACTCATAGTGACCCCTCCTTGGGTTTCTGAGGCAGAATCACTACGGAAGTAGATTACCCAGCCATCCTTCTGATGATTGGCTGGTGGGTTTGAACCATCAGCCTTCTGGTTAGCAGTCAAATGCCTTAGGCACTATGGTACCAGAGCTTAATAAAATCTATAGATCCAACACAATCCCTATCAATACTTCATCAGTCTTTTTTTGGTGACAAAGTTACAATGATCAAAACAGTCTGGTACTGGAATAAAGATAGACATACAGACTGATGGAATAAAACTTAGATTTGAAAAACAACTCCACACATTTATGGCCAATTGATTTGACAAGAATGCTAGATCAATCCAATGAGGAAGGGATCAGCTTTATTTCCACATGCAGAAAAATGAAGCTGGATCCTAACCTTACACATAGACAAAAATTAACTTAAAGTGGAACAACAACCTATAACCATAAAACTCTTAGAAAAAAACAGATGTAAAGTTTTGTGACCTGGATTCAGGAATAGATTCTTTCATGACACTGAAAGCACAAACAATGAAAGAAAAAAACAGATACATCAGACTTCATCAAAAATTAAAAACTTCTGCTCATCAAAGGGCATTTATCAAGAAAATAAAAAGATATAACTACAGAATTAATTAAATATGTGCAAATCATGTATCTATCAGGATTTGATATCCAGAATATATAAGAACTCCTATAAGTCAACAAAAAACAGACCAACAATCCAACTAAAAAACAAGCAACAGACTTGAATAGATATTTTTCCAAGAAAAATGCACAAATGGTCAATAAGCACATGAAAAGATCCACAACATGATTAGTCATCAGGGAAATGAAAATCAAAACCTACATATCTACTATGATGGCTATAATAAAATCAGAAAATACTAAGGGTTGGAAAGGATGTGAAGAAACTGAAATCAACATACATTTCTGGTAGAATGGAAAATAGTGTAGCTGCTGTGGAAAACAATCTGGCATTTCCTCCAAAAGTTAAATATGGAATTATCATATGACCCAGAAATTCCACTAAGTATATAGCCAAAAGAATTGAAAGCAGGGATTCAAACAGATACATGTACATCAATGTTAAATGCAGCACTATTCACTATAGCCAAAAGATGGAAACAACTCAAATGTCCATCAACAGATGAATGGATAAACAAAATACATATGATAGAATATTATTCAGCCACATACAGAAATGAAATTCTGCTACATGCCACCATATGGATGAACCTTAAACATATTATGCTAAATAAAGCCAGATACAAAGTGACAAGTAATACATGATTCTACTTATGTCAAGAATTTAGAACAGAAATATTCAGAGAAAGAAAGTAGACTGGAAGCTACCAGGGGCTGGGTGACGGAAGAATGAGCAATTATTAGTCAATGTGTACATAGTTTCTGTGGAGGGATGAAAAAGTTTTGAAAATAAATTGTGGAGATGGTTGCACAACATAATGTATATTATTAATGTCACT